CCATGTGGTCCACAGAGCTCACGGAGGTACTACTTTCCATGTTTCTCAGGGGGCTGACTGGTGGAGAACAAGCTCTACCAAAGCAGCAACGAGGCAGCAAGTCCACCCTGTGTGTCTACACTGCAGGGAGTTAGGGATCACAGAGATGAAGGTGTGGCCAGGAGCCCTGCTGGTGCCAGGAATCCCTCTAGTGCGTAGGACTTTAGTGCTACTCAGAACACTCAGCACCACGGGCCTCCACTGGTGATGCCAGGAGCCCCTGTGGATTCTGACAGCCCCACCTGACTCTGGGGTTGGCCCGCTCTGGGTTGAGAAGCACTAGATAAGAAACCCTCGAGGCTCCTGGTGATTTCATGGTTGCATGGCCTTAGGAAGTTACCCTCCAATCTCTGAGCAGAGCTTGGAGTTGATAGCATCTACAGGGCAGATCTCCCCAGAGTGTTAACTGTTGCCATAAGCCCAGGGCTAAAGACCTGATGATGGAATACTGGGCTCAGGCCATGGGTTTCTCAATTCCATCGGTGTCCACTCCCTTAAGGCTCGTGGTTCTAAGTACCACCATATGCTGAACATTTCCAGATACATGTTCCCACCAAGTCCTTTTTCCTGAGCACCAGACACATGTCCAGCCCCATAGCATAAGGGCTCCTGGACCAAGATATGCAAGCATGTACAAATTCTGCACCCACACATCCCCTGCCTGCTCCTCTCTCAGCTCCTCTTCTCAGTCCTGAACCCCACCTCTTCCTCACCCCAGCCATGCCCCTGGACCCTCCAGCCCCCCGTTCTGCTGCCCCGCCTCCACTGTGGGCACAGACCTGACTCTCCTCCAAGGCCACGTCCTATTACCTTCTGTATGTATAACAGCAACAGCACCCCAACAGAGAGACACAGGACAAGTGCTCAGAAAGACACTTTTAGAATTCCCACTGATTTAATTTCCTCCCAGGTCCTGGTAATTTACCTGGAATGTCAAACAACATGAAGCAAAGTATACAAAAATTTACCCCTTTTCAGGATGAAATTATAGACCAGAACAGGCTACCTCCTCCCTGTCACCCACAAAGACCTGACAGTCCTGAATTCACAGATTCCTGCTTTCATGTACACATTTCTTTTTAACACAATATTTCTATACATTTAAAAAAGTAAACAAAGTATCCTGAGTATTCCTCAGCTCTGAATCCTTGGTCCTTCCAAATGTCCCCAAGGTAACAAAGGGTGGTTTTCCAGTTCAGGAGACACCACTGGCAGGTCTTGCAGTCCCTCTAGGGTTCCTGTGACCTCCCCTCACCCTCTTTTCTGTGATTCTTGATATCAACAAAGTATTAGCATTGAACAAGAACCAGCACTGTGCTAAGCAATCAGTCTCTCAACTGAGATTTTGAATGCTGGAAAGTGTCAAATAACACCCCTGGCTACAATACCACACTATTATGATGAAGGGAAAAAAATAAATAAAAGAACCACATGATGTGCAGGGGTGATGAGAACTATGGAGAAAAATCAAGCAGGGAAGGAGTGGGACCTGGGTTAGGTCATGGAGTTGCACTCTGGGAAGAGGCCTTGCTAAGATGGGTTCTTATACACAGTATTCAGTTCTCATAGGTTACGGTGCTGCTGTATTACTTCATGGATGACAAGGGACACAGGGATAGAGGATGTGAGACTCAGCCCAGGCCTTCAAGCCTCTGAAACTCTTAACTCTACTTTCACTGTTCTCACCTTATCACAACTAGAGACTGAATTATACTATGTAGACGTTAGACCTACACAAAGGGAGAGACTGCAGACGAAAAAAATTTTTTTTTAAATTTACTCTCTGTATTATTATACATGGTTCAGATTACCAAAAACTGAGGAACCTTGCCTAAGGGCACGTGTTTTCCTGGGAACTAGGTCAGTCTCCCACTTAAGAGTTGATTTTTGAGGCATCTGTTATGGTTTGCACCTAGATCCCTCCCCCACAACCCAAAGCCTCCTGCAGTCATGAGGGTGGGTTTCTAGAGTCTGTGATTGATTAATCCATTGTCCAATGGATTACGGGTATGAGTACTATACCTACTCTAAGGTGGGTAACATACAATATAAGGTACAGAAAGAGGCTTACTCTCTTCCCTTCCTCTCTTGTTGCTTTTGGTATCTTCTACTGCCACAAACTGTTGCCTCTCTTGCCATGTGCCCTGCTACCTTGGAGTCTTACCTTACCTATGACCTAAATAAACCTCTTCCCCCTTTAACTTTGGGTGTTGGGTATTTTGTCTCAGCAACAAGAGAAAAGTAACTAAGCATCTTTCCAATCAGGAGGTTGGGGTGGGACTGCTGGTTTCCCATTAACACTTCTGAGCAGCCTTAGGGCCGCAGCATAGGAAAGAGGACTAAGTAGAAGCCAGTCACGCACCTAGAGAGACATCAAGAGTGTCTGTTCCATGGTGCTCTTTACTCTCCAGAAGAGACCCTGAAAGGGTCTCAAAGCATGTTTCAACTCTTCAACTGATATTCAGTAACACAGTTATATTAGAATTGACTCTTCAAAGAGGTCATAGCTGCTCTATTCCACGTACCAAATTGACTTTGAATAGAATTTAATTGAGCTCAATGTGAAATGTGGAAGGCCTCCTGGCTGATCCTCTAGCCATACAAAGCAGTACAGCACAGAAGCTGGACAAAAATGAGCCCAATGAGATGCTGCTGCCAGAGGATGAATATGCAAACACTTGCTTGGGCAGACTCCGACTCCAAAAACACTGGGAAAAGAATATATATATATATATATATATATATATATATATATATAGTTTGGGGGATGTTGCAGAGATTTGTAATGGAGGCAGCAGAGAAGCTAAGCTCACCTGCTGTCGACCCTAGAAAGCTTCGTTCAGCTCCAAGATAGAGCAGCAACAATGGCAGCTTAGAGAGAAACCAGTTCCAAAGCCGATGGTGACTCAAACTCATATGACAGGGGTAAAATTCCAAGCAGTCCACTCAAGTCCCAGGTCAGGTTTTGCACTGGATCAAGACTACATCCCTTCTTCAAAGCCCAACTGATACCCTGGCCTTAGGTCAGTGGCTCTGGGTCACTGATGTCTCCTCTCCGTGACACGATAACTTCCGCATCCACTGTCACAGGTTGTAAAGATCCTGTAAGCAGGTCCCTGAGGGTTGCTTGGCATGGGCCAATTAGCCTGGGGGGGAAAGCAATGAGGATGGTCCTAAGGGCACAGGGACCTTCCCCAGAGACACACGGATATACTCATATATAGCTGCCCACACAGTTCCAGGCCTGGGACAAAGAGTCCTCAACCCCAGACCAGCAGCTCCTCATTTACTAAAGCTCACTTTTACCAGAAGCACAGCATAAAGCAGTGATGGTGACCTATGGCATGCATGCTGCAGTGAGTTGTTTGTTTTCACTGAAAGCTCTCAAAGGTTCACCATCACTGGCACGGAGTAAAAAAGAAATGAGTGCCTGTTCGTTCATCAAAAAGGACAGTTTGTGCTTCCTTGTTCAACTACTTGATCATTTTTCTCATGCCTATATCTTGTAATTCGAAAAACTACTTTGAAAATAACAATAAGCAATATGTTAACCAGTCTTAATCTTCTATTATTTTGTTTTGAAATTTTTATCATTTTTCTTTTTTTTTTTCATTTAAAAAAAAAGAAATGAGTGTATGACAGGGGATACTGAGTGAAGATAATCTTTTGGAGTAGATTTAGGAAAATGATAAAATTCTTAATATAATGTATAATGTATTTAATTATGATCATATATTCTATTAAATCATGCATACTTTTCTCTAGTCCCCAAGGACTGTGAAGCATGTTTCCTGAAGATGAGCTGACCAGAAACCAAAGAGAGCTGCTGACGAAGAGGAGTAGGACAGGAGGATCCCGGTAGTAAGTAGCACCAACACTGCTGATGAAGCTCCCTGAAAGCAAGAGGGAATCTTCTCTCACCCACTGAGGAAAACTAACTGCATGCATTGGAGTCCACTTGCTGCCTTCACTCTCCATGTTGCTTCCTCTGCAGCTCCTGAGGCATGCACCATGGAACAAAGTGCTCTCTGCATGCCTGGCTGGCTCTCCTCAGTTCACCACCTTCCTATGCTCCAGCACTGAGTGTGCCTGGAAATGCTGATGGGAAGCCAACTATCCCACCCCCAACCTCCTGACTGGAAGGAAAGCTCAGAAAACAACTCTAAGAGTGGGAGACTGACCCAGTTTCCAGGAAAACACACTCTTGGGATGAGCTCCTCTTGAGAATCTGAACCAAGTATAAACAACAACCCCATTAAGGTTCTCACAGCGAGGTTCATAGTACAGGACGACGATGAGAACTATTATCATCTTCCTAGTTAGTGGAGGTAAAATCCAAAAATTCCTGGAAATTTCCTGACCTGAGCTTGACAATCCCAGGTACCCTCTGCTCATCTGCTCCATCTCTAAAGTTCCAAAAAAAAAAAAAAGAAGACAGTAGTGAGGACCCTTCCTGAAGCTTGTCTGGCACAGACCAGTTAGCCTAAGGTGGACAAGTGGTGAGGACCCTGGGGAGTGGAGTGCTCACCAACGCTCTCATATCCTGTGTTTCTGCTCCAGTTAGCACCATCATTACTGGATGGGTAATTTTCTCTCCAATTTCCAACTTTCACAGTCCTAATAACAAAGCATTTCAGATTTCTTCTTTTCAAGGCTGAGAACAATGCAAAGTTTTTTATTTTGTGAATGGATCTTCAGAATAACACGTGACCAGCAAATATGAGGACAGTACTACAACTTTCTTTCTTGCCAGCAGATCGCAGCAGTGTGCAAACCATGGTAGGGGACAATCCTCTGCTTCCTAGGAGTCCCATTGCTTCATGCCTTAGGATCTTTCCCAGACAGATAACACTGTGAGGAACACCACACACAGTTTCCTAGGGCAATGGAATGAGTCTAGTGACAGAGTAAAAGCAACTTTATAGTCCTGCATGAAGACTAGTACTTGGCTGGGTACTCACTGCTCGTGTCGAGTGTCAGGGATGGCTCTGTCCATGCGCAGCTTATCGCTCTCCACCTGATTAAACTTGTTGCGGGCATACGGGTCCTGCCCAGAGCGAACCATTGTCCCCCCAACGTAGGCTTCCTGGTTAAAGTCTGGCCACCGTACTTTCCCTGAAAAAAGCAGAGCAGACAGGTGGACAAGGGAAAACAAGACAAAGTTACTCCTCCCAGAGACTGCAACAAGTGTCAATTTAAGAAATAGCAGTCATGGTTTTTCCCCTAAGATGGCAATTTCAACCAACAAACTGACAATAGCGCCAGCCAGCATCATTATGTCCATATGCCTGAGAGTTTGGATTCCAATATTTACAGACTACAACAAGAATGGCAAAGGCCTGGAGCTCAGAATCCATCTAGAGGACCTAGGAGAACCAAAGCATCCAAAAGTATAAACAGTAACAATGGCAGCTGTTACGGTTTGTGTTTAATTTCTCCCCAAAGCCTCATGCAGTCATGGAGAGCAGGCTTTTCAGAGCTGGCTGGATACAGAATTTGTGACTGATTCATGAGCCAATGCTAGGATTAAGAGTATGAGTGCTACATTTGCCTTAATAGGTATCCTGCATAAAATATAAGGGACAAAAAAGAGGATTGTCGGTCCCCTCTCTTGTTGCTTTTGCTGTCTTCAGCTGCATGAACTGTTGCTCCTCTATCATGTGCCATGCTGCCTTGGAGCCAGCCAATTATGGACTCTACAAACTCTGAACTAAATAAACGCTTCCCCTTTTTAACTTTGAGTGTTGGTCATTTTGTCTCAGTAATGAGAGAAAAGTGACTAAGACATTAGTACTTATAGAATAGGAGATATTCCCTGCTTATCCCATTTCCCAGGGAGAACAGTTAATACCTAAAAGCATTCTGGGTAAGTGAAAAACATAATATATAAATTAACTATAAGGTATCCATCCCATTATGGAACATCAGTTAACATATAAGCAAATGTTTTCACTGCTGGTGTTCAGAACACAAAGAATGGACACTTAGGAGGCAGCAGGCATATGAAGATCATTCTCTGAAGCCTGAGGGGCTCTGAGTCTTGTCCCTGGATACCCTGCCACCCAAAGGAGACCACTGTAGGTTACAGGAAAAAGATCAGTTTGGATATCACCCCACCCAGATGAATACTGCCCAGGGCTACTGGCTGTTCTCTTGGGCCTGTTCAAGCTCCTAAATCTCACTAGGTTCCTGGTATCAATTTATACCTCTGGATGTCCCATGCACAGAATGCCTTTGTATCTTTTCCCATCTTCCTCTATCCCTCGCTGGCTTATTTTAGCCGACTCAACTCTCAAATATTAAAGGGGGAAGGGAAAGTTTCTCCTGCCCCTACAACATAAAATAACTCCTTCAAAGAACAGGATAGCAAAGGCCTCCTCAGTAAGACCTTCTCAAGGTTATGTGCAGCTACTAGCATGCCTCACCTCACACAGAAAGTAAATGATGTGGCTCTCAGTGCCACCCCGGTAAGCACAGCTAGGACTCAGCCATTTCTCACACATAGGTCTTTTCCTGGGAAAGTCCCCAAAACAGCCTGCCTGACTACTCACTATTAGAAGGCTGATCAGCTGACGGCCAGGCATAAGGTTTTTTGGAACACAACACTGCACTGGGACTCTTTAAGGGGCAGTGTTAGCTGCAGATGGGCACTGAGGGAGAAGAGCACTGCTAAATGAGAACATCTGGGCCAGCCCATGTGCAACCAAACAGAAACAATAAAGCAGAGCAGAGAGACAGACAGAGGCAAGATGCTTGAGGAAAATGTGGGATGAAGGACAGACTAAGGCAAGGAAAAAATTCATGACCCAGTATCTACCCCCATCCACCCCTGTTCACTATGTACTACCTATATGACCTTCCACTAGGTATTACACTTCCTCCCAAATCAATCCATCAATTGAGAGTGTTTCATGAGCTCTTTTTATCCCCTCCCTTTTTTTCTTTTTGAGACAAAGTCTTACTATGCAGTTCAGGCTGGCCTTGATTTCACTATGTAGCCTAGGTTGGCCTCGAACTTGGGTGATCCTCCTGCCTTGGCCTTCCAAGTGCTATGATTAAAGGCATGTGCCACCATACCTGGCTTCATGGTCTTAATGGCCTACTATCTTATAGTTCTGTGAATAAAACAAACTCAAAAGAAAGAACCCTGCTCAAATGGGGCTGAAGTGGTTATGGGGGTGATAGAGACATACAGGCTAGCTGGATGCTGGCCAAGTGTGCACAAGGCCTGGTGTTTGATCCTCAGCATCCCTCACAAAGGTAAAGTAATACCAGGATGCTGAGGGGCAGGCAGTCCAAGGCTGCTCTCTACATAAAATGTGCATGATCTCTCTCAGGACATTGAATTCAAACACCTGAACAAAGGAGGGCATAGCCAAGCTGCTCTCTGGGATGAGTGCAGGACCCTGGGTTTGTGCAAGGGTCCTGGAGTTGGGCAGGGTCTTGCCCTCTCAGGAACCAGGTGCCAGTGTAATATGAAAGCCATGTCTACATAAGCAAGTGTGGATCGGCATTGGCTCGGGACAGCCCAGACTTTTTGGGGTGAGTCCTCTATACACTCCTTTTCTATTGAAGAGGAGGAAGCTGAGGTTTAGGTGCCTGTCATTTACTCAAAGCCAAAGAATTACGTTTCTGTCTCTAAGCTCATCTGCTTCTTGCTTCAACTGTCTGGGGATGTCGACCATCTCATCTCACTCAGCTGGCTGCTGTGCAAATATCGGAGTAGATGCCCAGCCTCTTAAGTAATAAGGCAGCTCCAAAACCCACAAGCCTGGCTATGGGACTGTGTCGTGGCTTAGATAAATGCCTGCCACAGGAGCTGGTCAGCACAGTCATTTCCTCTACCTTTAATGAAATGCTTCTGCAACATTTTTTGGAAGCCTATTTTGCAAGGAAATACAACCCTAGAAACACTTACTGATCTCCTGCTCTCTTCCTTTATGCTTCTGTGTTTTCAGGGATGAGAAAAAAAACATCACTGTGTCATGGAGGGCTCAGGACCAACTCTTCTCATGCTATGCCACTGTGAGAGAAGCCACACACAGGCTTGGATGCCTTTCCAGATCCATATCAGTGGTCCAGTAGGAGGATTCCGGAGAGCTGTGCAACTCTCTCAACAGATCGAATCTGTTCCTGCACTAAAGAGCCTGGAGCTGGACAGAAGCAAGGCACCCCCAGGAGGTCTCATCCCCATCATTCTGCACGTGCTCTCTGAACTCCATGTCTGGCATGGGACACAGAGTAAAATCAGGCTGTCAGCTTGGGTGGGTCTGTGTTCAAGAATGGTAGATACAGGATAAAACAAGATTTCTGCTGGCCTCTCCAAGCTTCGAACCTTTTCCACCCATATGTGCCCTGCACTTGTAGACCCTTCCTCCTCTAGAGTAAGACAATTACTGATACCATACAGAGCATCTGACACCATACAGTCATGAGCCTGAGCTCTCATCAGTGCATAGGAGGTGGCGACCACATGTGGGGTATCACACAGGATCCTGCAGGGATGACAGGGCAAATGCAGGCCCAATGCCCACCCGTGGAGGTCATAACTTGGGGATGAAGCAGGGAAGTCACAATGAGATAACTGTATTAATAAATATATCACTAAAAACAGAGCTCAGTGCCCTGAGGATGGAGTTCCATGGATCCAACAGAATCTTAGATTTTTATCACTGCAACCAAATACCTGAGAAAGTCAGTTTAGAGATGGAAACGATTATTTGGCTCATGGTTCAGAGGTTTCATGGTTTTAGTTCATAAGCAGCTGGTCCATTCCTTTAGGCCTGTGATGAGGCAGACATCATGGTAGAAGGGTATAGAAGAGAAAACCTACTCACCTTATGGCAGCCAGGAAGCAGAGAAAAAGACAAAGAGCCAGACAGAAAGGGGCTTGGCACAAGATACAGTCCCCAAAGTCACAGCCCCATTACACACTTCCTTTAACCAGGCTCCTTCTCCTAAGTCTGTATCACCTCCAAGTAATGCTGTAAAACCATGACCCCATCAATGAACTAATCCACTGATGATATCAAGAACCCTTGTGATCCATTCAACTTTTAAAAGTCCCACCTTTGAATACCTGAGGCTTAGGAGAACATGTTAGGTCTAAGCCACAACACTTCTCTAGACCTGGGGACTAGGAGTGTCCCCCAAAGAGGTCTGAACAATGGATATGAATGAATCAAGAGCCCACAGGACTCCAAGCTAGACTTTTCATGCTCAGCAGCCAGGTCTGATGAGAAACCCACAAAGACCATCACACCCAGTAGCATCTCCTCTAGCAGATCCTGGCAGGCCCGTCTTGCTATGATGAATCTTAGTAGGGCAGACAACTGCGGCATCAGAGATGAACTGTAATTAGTGTGTCTTTCATAAAACATGTAGACTAGTAGTAACTGGGTGTGGTGGAATATGCCTACAATCCCAGCACTCAGGAAGCTGAAGTTGGAGGATCACTACAAGTTCAAGCAGTCTGGGCTACACAGTGAGTTCAAGGCTGGTGTCTGGTGTCTTAGTTACCTTTCTCTCATTGCTGGGACAAAATACTCAACATCCAAAGTTAAGGAAGGCGAGGTTTATTTAGCTCACAGGTTGTGGATGTTCCAGTCCATAATCAGCTGGCTCCAAGGCAGGGTGGCATCGCAGAGGGCAACAGTTTATAGTCGTGGAAAACAGCAAAAGTAACAAGAGAAAAGAAAAAAAAAGAAGAAGAAGAAGAAAAAGAGTAAAAAGGGAAGAGCGTGAAGAGAAGATTCTTTCTATCCCTTATGTTGTACATAGGCCCACACCGATCCTATGGTGGGTGTAGCACTTACACCCATTATCCTAGTATTGGCCCATAAATCAATCACAAATTCTAGAAGCCTGCCCCCATGACTGCATGAGGCTTTTCGGAGACATCCAGACACAAACCGTAACGGCTGGCCTGAATTATATAGTAAAACCCTGTCTCAATAAACCAAAAAAAAAAAAAAAAAAATTGGGGTGAGAAAGAAGCAAGTGTAGTGGTATGGTACAGTACCAGCAAACATGTTTAACCACAACACACCTTGTACATCTTGTACACCTTGTACATCATGAACCAGATCACAATGCAAACACACACAATGACCCAG